AATTTCTGTGATTTTAAATACATAGTTATACAATGGTATTTATTTACATATATTGAAATCATCGAATAAGTCATACCTAGGAAAGACAAGGCATGCCTGTGATTGTACTTTAGCGTAGACGCTTTGTGCCAACCGATGATGATTCATGCCCATGATTTGAATGTATAAATATTCTTGACAATGTTATTAGGGCTTGTAACCACAATACATCATTATCATCATAGTAGTGATTTTTCATGAAGTGAATCAATAAACTCTAGTTAAGAAATTGGTGGTGAATTCAATAACCTTAAGATTATTACTTCCATATCTCAATTCAATTTTATATTGCTTTTGTTTCTTTTTAGTTTTTAATTAATTTAGTTATCACCATAAGAACAACCTTTGTTGAATTAATTTAGGAATTGTTCTAAAAATAATGTACACTTAGCCTATTTGTCCTCGTCGGAATGATACCTGGTTTTAACTGCTATTCTAAGGGTTGTAGTTTCTACTTGGCTTTTAATATTTATTTTTGGTGTGAAAAATGACCCATCAATCATGTGCTTGTGTGGATGCATATTAGTGAGTAGAAAGATTATCCTACTAGACTATATATTTACCTTACGTTGTTAAAATCTTTTTCGGGTTTTGACGACTGTCACAACGGTGAGTGGCTTTGGATTTGTGCAAATGGGCTACATTGAGCTCTCATGAATTGTTGGTCAAGAGTCTTTTTGTTTCATAGGTTAGGTGTCTTTATATTTTGTAAGGGTTAATCGCTTTGTAATTGATGTAAGCCTAAGGGCATTTCTTTTATCATTGGATATTTTATTTCGTGTGACATATTATATACTCACTCCACTTAGATTTGAATATAGGATGTATGTAATGAACCAACCCCATGTACTAAATGATACTCATATAAATATGTGTGCACGCGCGCACACGCGTGCGCGAGAGGCACATTTTGAGTATATAGACTTCATTTGTTATTCGAGTTTATTTATTGAGGTTTGGGTATTGAGAATTCAAGGTGTGACATTGGTCTTGGAGTTTTTAAAAATAGTTTTTGAATTTTGAATTGTATTTTTTAATTTTTTAATGAATATTTTGTAATATTTTAATCAATTTTTTAAAAAACTTTTTAGATACACTTAATCTAGATATGTTTAAAAAAATATAATTTTTGTAATTTTTTTTCCAAATTTAAAAACAAATCATTACAATTTTGTATTTTTTTATATTTATTGAATTCTTTTTAAATATTTTCATAAATAGTTCACTTTTTAAGTACATTTAAATTGGACACATAATACGAATAAAATTCATTAAAATTAACAAAGGATGAAAAATAAAATTCAAAAACTCAAAAATTATTTCTAAAAGTTAAAAGCAAATAGAGTGAATGTTTTTTATTTATTGAGATTTGGGTACTGGGAATTCAAGGTGTGACATTGATCTTGGAGTTTTTAAAAATAGTTTTTGAATTTTCAATTTGTATTTTTTATTTTTTAGTGAATGTTTGTAATATTTTAATCAATTTTTTAAAACTTTTTAGATCCAATATGCTTAAAAAGTGTACAAATTTTTTTTTAATCCAAATACAAAAAAAAAAATAAAAATAAATAATCGTTACATTTTTGTATTTTTTTTTAGATATTTTCATAAATATTTCACTTTTTAAATAAATTTAGATTAGATGCATCTAATAAATAAATATATAAATTTATCTAAAATACGAATAAAATTCACTAAAAATAGCAAAATGGGAAAAATAAAAAAACTCAAAAATTATTCCTAAAAGTTCAAAAATAGAGTGAATGTTTTTTAATTAATGCCACATCAATTTGTAAAAATTATTTATACTTGAAATTTACCAAGCTGGCAAGGCAGCTTAGATCAACACAGGTCATGGATATACACATTGCAAAAATTGCATTAAAAAAATAAAGAAATAAAGAAGAAGAAAAGCTGAAAACATCTGACAAGTTACGTTAACCAGTCAAAAATGCTAGAGGTCCTAAAAATTCTATCAAAAATTTTATCAAATCCCACACTCATATGAGACATTTAATAAAACTTTTAATAGAATTTTTGGGATCTCTAGTATTACTCTTAACCAGTAGGCCAAGGCACTCATCATATTAAATAAATATTGCATTTAATAGAGCCTTTTGAGTTGGTGAATACTACTATACTAGCTAGGATAACCTTTCCCAGCTAGATAAATAAATGGGGACTTATGTGTCTGTAGCAATAAGCTGATTTTTTTGTTCAACGGGTTTTTTTGATAATTAGTATCATTTTTATATAATCATAAAAAAAAATTACTAATTATTAATTTTTAAAAATTCATTATAGAAAAATATTGTTAATTGTCAATTTTTAGTGATAGATTTAGAAAACCGTCACAAAAAATATCACTAATTATTAATTTTTAGCGACAAATTTAGAAATCATCACAAAAAACTCTGTTTTAGTGACAAGTCTATCATGACAAACTTTCAACGATGAATTGATAGAACTTAATAAGAATTAAGTCCAATAATTCAGATATGTTGGTAATTTACCCTAAAGAGTATGGATTAAATTGCAACCAAAAAAAAAAACATGGTTTGACAGTTATAACAAAATAAATTTTTAATTTTGTCAATTTAAACTCTATTCTTTTGATTTATTTTCAATTTAAATTTTTTTTATCTATTTTCGTCAAGTAAAAATTATGAAAAATAGTATTTCAGTCATTAAACTGAATGAAAAAATATATTTTAGACATTTTATGTACAACTACTTTGATTTTAATAATTAAAATATTATTTTTTTTAACAATTTCACTTAACGGAAATAAAATATTAATATTTAAATTGACAAAATTAAAATTTTAGAATTTATTTTCAATGTAGTTTTTTTTTTTAAAAAAAAAAAATTCCCCAAGAGTATATAATACACCATCATTACTATCATATGACATATATTAATTTCTTAATTTCAAAAATATTATTATTATTATTTTTAATAATTTTTTTATGAGAATTATGTTTGACCATTTCCCTTCCATTAATCACCAACAATACCATATGGGAAGAAATTCTAATTAAACAAATATATAATTAATTGGAATAAATTATTGGAAAATGTTCTGCTATTACATACAATTTTTTCTAGTGCACTGTTTTGGAATAACAATGATTAATATTGGGTAAGGTAAATTACACAGATTTTTCTTGGATTTAGAAAAAAAATACAATAAATCCTATAATTTTAATATAATTATGTTGATTTTTTTAGTAAGATTAAATTGATTGAAATTAATACAGATAGTGTAAAAACATAAAAAAAATAACATAAAATATATATTTTGGTATAAAAGCGATGATAATATCATTTTTTAATCTATATGACTAACAATTAATGATGAAAAGAGAGTTAAGTATTTTGTGATTAAAATATTAAAAAATTAAATATAATTATATCAAAATTGTAAAATTTATTATTATTTTTTTTCCAAAATCTTAATAGATAATTTACTCTTAATAATTTGTTGCTCTAACGGCTAATTGGGAATAAAAAAAAATGCTATAGATCTCAAATAATTTATTAAATTTTCTACCAAACCTCTCACATGATGTGGGGGAATTGGAGATACTGCTGTGCTATAAGGCGCAGAAGTTACTACTGCCCTTTTGTGGGAGATTGTCCCGAGTGTTTTTTGATAATCGGAACCGTTATATTATAGGGCTCGTCGAGTAGATCATCCATGCAAAAATCAAGTTGATTAGATATGTAACTCTATATCCAAAGCACATTTGTTTCTATAAAAATTAACGGTTAACATAATTTTCATAAATTTTTAAAAACAATTAGGACCTAATAATGGGGTTATGAATATTCGATTAACTTGACTTTTTACATAAATTATATTCTTGACGAACCCTATAATATAAACGGTTCAGATCATCGAAAAACACTCGGGACAATCTCCCATAAGGGAGCAACAGTAACTGTTGTGCCTTAAGGTACAGCAGTATCCTTTCTCCTGGATGTGAGATCCACACAAACCCACATGTGTATGAATCTCACACCAATATGAGAAGTTTGGTAAAAAAAAATTTAATAGATTATTTAATAACTCAAAAAAAATATATCTTAGGTGGGGTTGGGTGTACAAGTGTGGAGTGGCCCCATAATAGAGGACATGAACCCAAATTTGAAAGGCCATCTACCTTCTCATGCAATTAAATGTTTCCTTTTATTGGCCACGCGGCGAACGAGGGAGATTCTGAAGTTCTATTATATCATTTAATGATAAATGATTTATTTTAATTTAAATTAATTATTTTAATTTATCTTCTTATTTCATAGCTATTAGATATATAAAAAAAAAATTCAATTACATGTATAAAATGGAGAGATCACAAACCCCCCCTCCCAGTAATGCTAGGCTTCAGGAAAACCTTCAGAAAAATGTGGGTCCCACCTGGTAAGGAAATAAAAAAAGGAAAAAAAATGAAACGTGATGGAAGAAGTCGTTGACTGAACCTTCCTATTATATCAACAACAAATAGGGTGGGTCCCACCTAGGAAAATAAAAATAATAATAAAATAATAAAAAATAAAAAGAAAAGGAAAAAAGAAAAGAAAAGAAAAGAAAAGTAAAAGAAAGGAAGAAAATGTTGGCTGGAACCTCCATGTTATATCAACAACAAATATTGTAGGGTAGCAATTCAAGTGAATTCCTTTTAGTGAAAACTCACAAAGAATATAATCCAAGGAATAACAAAAAGAATTTATATATTGCCAATATATAATAGTTCAATAACATAAACCTACATCAAAATGACAATACTTCAACATAAGCTTATACCAAAATGACAATGCTTCAACAACTCAACAACATAAGCCTACACAAAATGACAATGCTTCAACATCGGCTTGCCTAGAAGTCATACAAATATTGTCAATGGTAAATTAAAAATAAATTAATATAGGTCCAAGAAACATTGTCATTGTTGACATCTTCAACTTCTTTCATCTTTGTCTCGTTCGGGATTTTCAGATTGTGAGTGCGCCATATCATTCAACATTTTCGTGAAACTTGAATTGCCCAACATCCAAGATTGAGATGGATGATGATGTCCCTACCAAAAAAATAAAATAAAATAAATGACATAAATATTAAATTTTTGTTTAAGCCACGTTAATAAAATACAAAATGGAATATTATGTACTTGGGATGACAAGTGTCCTTGGAGCATGTTTTGTTGCCCGAAACTTGGAGCCAACATTTCAGATTCCTGCAATATAACAAGCACCCATAGAATTATAAATCCAACAATAAACTAACAAAATCTAGCTATAAAAGAAATCAATAAATTCAACAAGTTTCTTACATTGATTTTAATACTCTCTTGTGTACCAAGATCAACAAATCCCATATGTGAAGGCGCACTAAATTCAGATTGCTACAAAATATAAAACTTGAAAGTTAACAAAATAATAGCTTATCAGTTAATGGTAAATTCATGCATGAGATATTTTCACACCTCTATATTTCCTTGGCTGCTGGTGCTAGTGGTCTTTGTCTTTGTCTTGGTCTTCACTCTTTGCTTCTTTTTAATAGTTTTTTCAAGCATAAACTGTTTCCTTTTACATGGTGGCCTCCCTTTTTGATAGACAACGATTGGATCAAGTATGGTTGTGCTCTCCTTTGAATTTAAGACACCATCCCCATATGAGCTTGAAGCATTCTGAGTACTCATAGAACCAAACTTGTTACTTCCACTAACAACATCAACTTCTTCTTTCAACTCCCCTTTTAGTTCACGTAACTGTTCAACCACTATCACACTTATTGTCACAACTAGTTGCCAAATCAGCCACCTCATTGAAGACATTGAACATTTTATCATAGCGACGTGCTTCAGGCTTAATAGAAGAGTTGTCATAACTGATATGCACTTTAGTGTGACATCTTTTCACATTTTTGTTCCATCTTCTTAAAATATACTTGTCTGGCATTTGATGAATCCTTTTTTTCATGAGCACTGCAATTTGATGCCTACACACTATTCCCCTAAACTCAAACAACCGACAACTACAATTTGTTTCAGAGCTGTCCTCTTTCAAATATACTGTGAAAGTTGCAAGTCTAAGGCTTTCTCCAAAGGGAACATCTTCACTTACTTCATACACAGAAAAATTAAGATCTTCTGAACACAGAGACAAATTGCAATAAATCTTTCCTACAACCTCCTGTTGGAACTCTTTGAATTTTGCAATTGTGTAAGCATTTTGAAATTGCTTTTCAAATGGATATTGAGTTATGCATGGGATGTATGAGTTGAGAGAATTGAATTCACCATTTTCATTTTCAACCTTCTTTGCCATAGCATTTTCATATTGCTCCACAAATTGTTTCAAAGTGGTTTTTGAGTTAATATACCCATCAAAGAATGCGTGCATGCTTTCACTACGCTATGTGGTTGACATTCCTGCCCAAAAAATGTCTTTGACAAACGTAGGTACCCATCGATGTCTTTCCTCATACAACCTAAGTAACCAATCATTGCTATGAAGTTGATACTCCTCAATGAACTTACCCCAATTTTCTTCAAATTCTTCTGTAGTTAATGAATCATAAACTGCATTCTGAATACCAAATTTTATTGCTTCATATTCCTTGTATCCTCTCAATTTTTCAGGCAATTTTTTCATAATATGCCACAAACACCATCGCTAATGCGCATTAGGGAAAACAATCTCTGTGGCTTTTTTCATGGCTTTGTCTTGATCTGTAATAATAGCATTGGGAGGGCATCCAAACATGCATGCAAGCCAAGACTGAAATAGCCATGTAAATGTCTCTGTGTCTTCATGTGAAATGAGTCCACAACCCAACAATGTCGACTGTCCATGATGGTTCACACCAACAAATGGGGCAAATGGCATATCATATTTATTTACCAAGTATGTTGTGTCAAATGTGACCACATCCCCAAACTCTTTAAATGCTGCTCTACTCCTCGCATCGGCCCAAAATACATTTTGTAATCGACCATTTCCATCCAAATCCATGACATAAAAAAAGTCTGAATTATCACCTTGCATTTTCACAAAATAATTATACATTGCAGTGGCATCTACTTCCTCAAGTCGTAAACGATGAACTTTGTCTATATGATTCCTACAATCTTTTTCTAAATATGACAACTTCTCACGCCCTCCAGCTTCCAACACAAGTGAAGTGAAATTTTTGTTCATCCTAATCCCCGCTCTATCATTTAATTGAAGTCTCCTCTTCACATGCGGCTCAAGTATCCTATTTTGCTTGAAAAAACGAGATTTGGTTGGACTCATTTTATGGTTATGCTCAAGTACTAAGGATCGCAATAGCCACATTCCATCGGGTTGTAGAATTGCATTAATGCAAGCTTTGCATCCCGTTCTTGTTTGTGGCCGTAATTTAACTAGATTGCTTGTTTTGATTATTGCCTTCCCAGCACGAGTACAAGCAAGAGTTATATATTTTTTCTCCCCATCGCCTCCCTTTTTACAATTTTTCTTAGACACCGCAAAACCATTTTTCTTCCCATATGTTGCATAATATTCATAAACTTCGTCACTTGACTTAAACATCATTCCCACCTTAGGATCCTCAGTTTCAACTTCTACATTTTCAGTTTCGACTTCTACATTTTCTGTTTCCTCCATTTCATTCTCAATATTAATTTCATTAATGCCCTCACTTAAAGAACCACTCCATATTTCTTCATCCATATCTCTACAATATATATATATATATATATAATTAAAAAGTTCTTCAACAAAAATAAATAAAAAGGCAATAAATAAACAGGAATTAATTTAGTTCTTAAACAAAAATAAATAAACAACCAATAACTAAACTGAGACTATTTAAAAATAATAATTTGTGCCTTGAAATATATACATTGGTGGTATAAGGCATCAAAAATTTTCAAAATTGAACAAAAACCCCCAAAATTTAACCTATGCAATTTCTAGGCTTTCATACATGAAACAAAGTAAATCCACAAAATCTCATTGAAAGATTCAAATTTAGAGATAACAGAAATTAAAACGAAAATTGAGTTATGTAACCTATGCAATCCACAACATCTCTTTCATTGAAAGATTCAGAGACAACAAAAATTTTCAAAAGCCCCAAAATTCAAAATTCTAGGGTTTGAAAAAAATAATCCCAAAATCGCACAAAGAATGTAGGATACAAAATCAAGCTTGGTAAAACAACTACAAACACTCAGATTTTGGTTGCAAATCTTACCTTCGGTGTTCTTGCAAGAATGGTGGGATTAGAGACTAAAATCGCAGCAAAAATCTGAGAGTGACGGAGAAATCAAACGGAAATCTCAGCAGTTACGGAGACGTCGACGGCAGTGACCGGCGGCAGCAAGCTTGCGGGTGAGAGCTGAGCGAGAGAGTGGTGAGAGAATTGAAACGTGAGCTAGAGTGGTGAGAGAGTTGAAACGTGAAAGAGTTGAAACATGAGACTCAGAACTTTTTTTTATTTCTTAAACTAGCAATTTCCTTGCCAGGTGGGACCCACCTTTTCCTGAAGGTTTTCCTGAAGCCTTTTCCTGAAGACTAGCATTACTATAAATAAAAAAGTGGCGCTAATAGCCATCACCATTTTTCTAAAATTATAACTTTAATTAAAATTATTATAATAAACACAAATTGAAATGAAATACCTACTCTTAAAAAATAAAAAAATAAAAAAATAAAAATAAAAACTCAAAATTGAACACCCAACTCTATCAAACCAAATTAATCACTCAACTCTCATGGTCTACCATTATTATTCATTGTCATTGTATTCTTGAGCACCTACATTGACAAAGACTAATTAATACATTGACAATTGTCATTGTATTCTTGAGCACCTACATTGACAAAGACTAATTAATACATTGACAAGTGTGATTTACCATATTATCGGGTGAATTAAACTAAAATTACAAAACTTATAGGAGAAAACGTATTAATTTTTTTTATCATAAATGTAATATTTGTAATTTATTATTATTATTATTTTCTATTTTATTTTATTTTATTTTTTTGCTAATTAAACTATGATATGAATTTTTTTATTTCTAATAACCTAGAACACACAATTAAAATTATAAAAATAATTTCAAAAATGTTAAAACTTAATTGATTCTAAATTATTACTTTTATATATTTTAAACAAATCTTATGCTATTATTTAATTTTTTTATTATTTATTTATGTATGTGCATAGTATAGATATTGTGATAGTATATATTTATATTAGCGACTGGGTATACGCAATGCTTGTGGAAACTCGTTTGAAGTTATAATATGAAATTCATATTTTTTTTTTCTTCTAACAATGCACATATAAATCATATGATAATTATGTGCAATATAACATTTAATATTAATGTATTTGATAAATTAAAAATGGGTGATGCACCACTAAATCTCAAATCTTTATCTTATGACCCATTTGGTCCTATATTTTATCTTATGATCTAATTAGTCCCAATGGGTGATGCACCACTAAATCTCAAATCTTTATCTTATAACCCATTTGGTCCTATATTTTATCTTATGATCTAATTAGTCCCAAGCTAATGTCAATGACAAAATACCTAGTGTTACACTATGTTTTGCGCACACCAACGTGGTATTGGCTGTAATGCCCAAAACTCTGTAGATGTTTGTTTTCCCTCCAAACAAACATCAACAAAACATAATCAAAACCATCGACAACATCAAACATTAAAACATCAACAAACATCAAATATCAACAAAACATCATCAAACACATCAACAACATCAAACATTAACAAAACATCATCAAACATCATCAAAAAAATTGTGAACATCATCAACATCAACAAATATCATCAACAAACATCAACAACAAAATTGTGATCACCATCAACATCAACCAACATCATCAAACATTCGAACATCATTTCCCTCAAATCAGATCCATGATGGCAAAGGTGTTGAGTCTCCGCCTTATTTCACTATCTCCTCACAGCGAGGCCACACGGCAGCGGCCTCTTCCACAATCGCGCCTCTGCCGCCGCAACCACCAAGGCCTCGCCAAACTGCTCTCTCCGCCAACCTTGTTTTTTTTTATATTTTATTAATAATAATAATAATAATAAACTATTAATATACACAATAAACTATTAATATAAATAATCAAAAAATCAAAAAAAATAACTATGTGTAATGTAACATTTGATATTAATATATTTTATATTTGATAAATAAAAAATATATATTAATGTATGTACAAAATCTTTAAAAAACACACACACAAAAAATTAAGCAAACAAACAAACCAATTTTCTGAAAACATAAATTATAAACACACAAACACAAACGTTGATATAAACCAAGAAAAATAATAATCAGTTTTTTTTTTTTTTTTTTTTTTTTTTTCTTTAAGAAGATAACACAATGAAACATTTCATTTTCTATAAAAAAAAAAATTTATAGAAAGTATAATTAACAGTATTACAGAAAAAAATACAAAAATAAAATCCAAGACACACATTTTACATGATTTTTTTAAAAGCACTGAATTCTTGTGATGTCCCGGGTCTTGAACTTGACTAGCATGGAGTAGTAAGTTAGTATGCATTACTTTCAGTGTTTTGTTTATTGTACTGGGTCGTTGAGATTCATGTTCTACTCATTCTTAACCTCTCTTAACATTTCCAGGTTAAAATTTATGAGTTTTGGGTGTTGGAACCTGTTTTGGGATGCAAAAATCTTCAAGATATTGAGAGGGCTTTTTACACCAAATCGAAGAGCGCGACGAAGGTTATGTTTACACCGATTGACTCAAGTTTTCATCGACGTTGAACTTTAGGGTTTTCATTTTCTTCCTCTTCCAAGCTTGAGGTAGGAATAATCTTTGAGTTATATATATGTTTTTACAAGTCTATACTTGTTTGGAGTATTTCATACATATTTGGATTATGATTTTGGTTGATGAGCCCTAGATGATATTAAAAGTGGATTTTCTTTATTTTTCCTAAAGCTTTTAAGAATATGAGTTATGTTATAAAGTGTGGGTGTTATTTTGAAAAAATCTTTTCAAAAATGCAACAAAACCTAGTTTTTGTGAAAACCCTTGGATATTTTGGGAAAAAGTTGAGGTCTTATGAAATTTATGCTTAGTGAATTGTTATGTGAAGAAATGATAGAGAAATTTCTATAACTGTATCAAATGAGAAATTTCATGGATGAATGAGAATTATTGATTTTAAAGCTTATTGTTAGTTTGTCTTGGAAAACCAAGTTTAGGAAATGATGTTTAACATGTGGAGAATACATGTATATTGATATTGTTATATTATCTTTTGGAATTATATTATGATATTATAATGATAAGAGATGTGAGAATTTGATCACAATGGAAGATTGTGTAGTGGGATTGAAAAATGGAACTATATTGATGCATTGTTATATTTTGCATTGTCATTCCATTAATCATTGTCATAATTGATTTTGAATCTTGCATTGAAAAATTATTCCCTTGAGAAAGAAATTATTTTGTGAAACAAAATCATTTTGATTTGTTTTGGGGTAAATACGTTGGTAAGTCCGGATAGGGGGTGTAGTTGATATTGATTAAGTTGGCATGTGTCACGACCCAAACTCACCCCTATAAGTTTAGCGTTATAATCGGCCAGTAATCTTTAGATTACCAAAGGCCTCTGAACAGATTAACACATAATAAGGGGTTGCGGAAGCAAATATATAAAACATACATAGTCCATTGAGCTGTACAGACATACATGAAGCAGAAATTTAAAACTTTATATGCACACATGTGACGTCATAATCACATTAGTCTTACGTCACCCACAAATACAGATAAAACCAAAATGGGACTTAACCCAGTACACAGATAAGCAGAAACTTGTTTAAAATTCACGAAAAGAAAACAAGGTCTTAAACTTAGTTCACAAAACATGGCCACTTGACTTTTTCCAGAACCTCCTCGGGAGGCATAAAGGTTGGCCGACAAAACAGAATTCCAAGCAATCATCACTGAGCCTGGTCACGCACTTGATCACCTACATATATAAAACAATACAGTGAGCTAGAGCCCAGTGAATCATAACAGAGTAAAGGTTTTAATGAACGGTGTCCATAACAAATTTAGAAATCAGAATTCAAATTCAGAAACAGATTCATATTCATATTCATTTTTAGAGTTCACATATCCCATATGATTATACATGGTACATCCATTAATGCTAACAAATCCGATGACCCATAAAGGGACTGCCATAAAGGCAGTTCGATGACTCATGTGTACAGAGACGTTTCAGATGACCTGTAAAGGAATGGTCATAAAGGCATTCCGATGACCCATAAAGGGACGCATATCGTATGATGCTAAGGATGCCACGAATACATTTCAGAAACTTGGACAATCAATCATTCATACAAAACATAGCATTTTAGAAAACTGATCATTTCACATCATCAGAAAATAATTAAAGTTAAACATAACTTTATAGAGTTATTACTCACAGATAGCTCCAATAGCACAACAGATAAAGCAGACGAATTAAATAGTCTATGATGCGTGACCTACACAGCACATAGTAGATACATATTGAAACACACATTCGGAAAACACTGAACTTATTTCTTTTCTATCTTGGTATGTTTCTAATCCTTATCCTCGTTACTATATCTTAACTAAGGCTTAAGAATGCCTAAGATGCAATGAGGAT